AAAAAGAATATGATGGGGAAGGGGGCACCAAAACCTTCCTGAAAACATGAAATTATAAGTTGACGAAAGAATTCTAATGCCAATTTGTTCACCAGATCATCATTTCATTGACCTAGTATAGGGCTGCACACTTAATCGAATATTGATTGCGATCACAAGTTTGGCTTACCACACTTATATGAACTTGATGGTCTATGATATTGCCATTTAGAATGCATGGTTGGTTCATTGAAAACTCCACTGCATATCAAATCAAACGCTTCCTAAACTAACAGCTAGCCCCCAAGGTTGATCACGATGGTTTCACTTTTGATGAGCTCTTCTGTCGAACACACACACACACACACACACACACCCTGCTACTGCAGCCTGGGTACTTTAATTACTGGAAAAAATACTGTATAAAGTTACTGTTCATGAAAACCGAACATTTCCTACTGCTCCAACTTAACATAAGTAAGCTAGTCACAGGAAGTTTGAAGTTTTTGTCAGCGGTCATACTCTAAAGTTTTCGGATCAGTTTGAAATATGTCAGGGAGTAATGGAACAAGAAGGAGCAGCCACAGAGAGCTTGATGAAGAGCTGCAGGCGAGACAGCACAACTCCAAAAAAATAATTGTGATTATTATTTTGGCCATAATCGTGCAGACCTATCCTAGTGCAATATGTCTTCACTGTATATTATTTTTTGTGACGTAGCATATTGAGATTTTAGCATTTAATATAATGTAAAATGCAATACATATATTAAATGGTGCTCACACAATAATGGCAAGTTTTGACAGTTTGACATGTGGACGAGAGGAGCTGGGTATCAAGCAACCAGCTCTACACAGCCCTAATACCTAATTCCTTGATGTTATAGTTTAGTTTGTTGTTTTTTGTAAAATTGTAATCAAGGAATAAAATCCACAGTTTAACTTATTTGGCTTCCTTTTATCTCCTGACGTTTGAGTTCAACCATGATAACTTCCCCCTTGTTGAACTGTTGAGTTGATTGTTCCAGCCTAAAGAGCAGAGCAGTGTTTTGGGGGAATTTGTAAAATAAATACATAATGATGATTCCAAAATTGAATGTCTTCTTTGATTATTTATCAATGTTTCTGAATTTAAAAGAGTTATTGTTATTGTTTGCCTGCTCCTAGCAATTCCATTAGCCTTGGGTTGAGTCTATTGACCAATCAGAGGCTGTGTTTCTAACTAGGCATGTGTGTGGCAGCTCTGATCTGAAATGGAATAACATACATGTAACATAGGAATTTACAATACTGTCAGGGCAGCACCCAAAATAATAAGCAGAATAGCATAAATGTCCTAAATCATGTGTCCATTCTCTTTTGTGCATTTGGATAGCAATGTAAGGCATGTGCCCAGGGCATCATTCCAAATATTAATTCAAAAGATTAATTCAACAAATCAGTGCTTCAGTGCTTGACACGAGCTCTGACTGTCAAGTCTCGCTAACTAGTAACTGTCATTCTTGACACAGCAAACTGTAAAAAAAAAAAATGTACATTTTTGCCACATATAATTAGGAAGGAGTGAGTGAAGCTACTATGGTCTGATGTGCTATCAAGCAGGTACTGACACTTAAACCTGGTTCACACTGCCTGCTTCTGCAGTCTTGTTTTTTTTAACTTTAGCACCCATGTTAACAGATTAGAGTGGTCACACTGCCCATGTGAGACGTCTCAGCTGCAGCTGATTCGAGGTCTTGACTATTTTTTTTCATTTTTACCACAAGCAGCACAAACCACTCTTCACATTTACATTTAAATTCCACATGTATGGCAATGTAAATTAAATCATATGAAAAATGAAATTTTTCATGGAGATTATACAAAGAAAAGGGTATGTGGAAACACAGGGCTGGCAGCAGCAGCTCCACAGCAGTCACACTCTGGGTGTGAACGCTGCGCCATGCGCCATAGACACCACCAGTTGGCACACTGTTCTAGTACATATTGTTTTCATAGGCTACATAGCAATGACGATAGCAGTTTATTTAACACTAGAACTGTAAACGGGTAAAATTTACACCGAACTTTTTTCAATAGTTTATATATGAAACATGACAGAGAGGCATAATGCACAAAATCTTTATTAGAAATGTATTTCAATTTAAAAAATCTTAGACTCCAAAGGAAACTGAGCCTAAATAATTCTGCAGGATGGCACAAAGATTTATCTATTCTTTCAAGATTGAAGAAAATACAATCAATATATCAATAAAAATATATCAAAGTACATCGTAAATCCCCAAAAGTCAAGCAATAATCTTACTATCAGTGGAGTAATATTTTCATCAACTTTTGCAGGAACAACATTATTTGTGTGTGGTGTTGTCTGCAAATGTCCATTGTGACAACACTGTATGCATATTACTGGGTTAAAAGTGTGACTAATCCATCCACACAAATGCATAGGACAGAAATTACTGACAATAAATGAATAGTACTTTGGGATACCTTTACAAATTTTCCCAGCTGTTTCAAAGCTTTTAACTTTGTCTGAAGTCTGGGACACAGACTTCAGGATATATGCATGATTTATTTTTTAAACGCACTCACACCAGCAGCCTGTTTTTTAGGAATTGTCCCTTTGGTGACATCCTTTGTCCATCTAGATTGAGGAAAAACTTCTGCAGACTTTTATATGTGCATTTGAGTTCTGATGAGAAGCATCAGTCCAAATAAATCAATAATACATTTTATTTAAAAAGCGCTTTTCTGAATACTCAAAGACACTGTACAATA